CACCGCCATGCACCGCTACAGGCTTGGGGAAGAGTGGCTGGAAAGCTGCCTGGCGGAAAAAGACCTGGGGATACTCGCTGACAGCCAGCTGAATATGAGCCAGCAGTGTGCCCAGGTGGCCAAGAAGGCCAATGGCATCCTGGCTTGTATCAGGAATAGTGTGGCGAGCAGAAGTAGGGAAGTGATCATGCCCCTGTACTTGGCACTGGTGAGGCCACACCTCAAGTACTGTGTTCAGTTTTGGGCCCCTCACTACAAGAAAGACGTTGCGTTGCTGGAGCATGTCCAGAGGAGAGCAACAAAGCTGGTGAGAGGTCTGGAGCACAAGTCTTGTGAGGAGCGGCTGAGGGAACTGGGGTTGTTTAGTCTGGAGAAGAGGAGGCTGAGGGGAGACCTTATTGCCCTCTACAACTACCTGAAAGGAGGCTGTAGCAAGGTGGGGCTTGGTCTCTTCTCCCTGGCAATGGACGATAGGACGAGGGGGAATGGTTTGAAGTCATGCCAGGGCAGGTTTAGGTTAGACATTAGCAAAAATTTCTTCACAGAAGGGGTTGTCAGGCACTGGAATGGGCTGCCCAGGGAGGTGGTCGAGTCCCCATCCCTGGAGGTATTTAAAAGAAGGATAGATGAGGTGCTTAGGGACATGATTTAGTGGTGGGATGGCAGTGTTAAGTTAAGGGTTGGACTTGATGATCTTAAAGGACTTTTTCAACCTAAACCATTCTATGATTCTATAAGCCTTGTGACAACTTACCACAATATATGACCAATTTCCCATAGAGATACCTATATATATCTATCTGTATTTCTTCCTAACATTTAAACCTGCTTCAGGAAAGATTGAAGGAATTGGGATTAATTAGACTAAAGAATAAAAAACTCAAGAGAGCATGTAACAAATATGTAGAATATGTAAATTGCTGCAAGAAAGAATAAAATAATAGTTACTATGCCAGTAGTGGCTAAGAAAAGTGGCTTAAATAACAGAAAGACAGATTCAAGACAGACATTAAACACTTTCTAATGGAAAGTAAGGCAGTGGAATACAATTTGTTCTTGACGACCTCTAATTCTGGAGAAGCTATAACCTTCATAAGAAAGCATCTGTCAGGAGTAATAATCCTTTCTTGGAGTAGGAAGATGGACCATGTGTGTTTAAAAGGACATTTTCAGGCTTATCGTTCTTATAAATGGTCAGCAAAAAGAAGCTGTCTGAACTGGTTAAAGACTATCCTTACAATTCTTATAATTCTGAAAGGAGAGGGCCAACTGAAAACTAATACTGAGACTATAGATCTGAATTACAGGCAGTGTTACTGCTGTGTGTTTAAAAAGAAAGGAAATAAAAAGGCAAGTGAAAAGGAAAGGTTGAAATAAAAGAATAGACCTGTGAGTTTTATTAGAAGACATTTTCAAATATGGATATTGTGTAGTTCAGGAATATTACAAAATTGACTAATTTGTAATGCTCAGGGTTGCAAGAAAAATGAGATATAGATACGAAAGCAGTAATTTAGAGAAAGGAAAAATGGAACTGAGATAAGTAAGGTCTTGCAGTTCATGGCAGAAGTAGGAAGTGAGCTAAGAAAGAGGCTGCTCTTCTGATTTGCCCGAAGCATGATACGATTTTGTCGGGGATAATAGAATGTGGATGTTATGTCTGAGACAACATATGAGGGTGCTTCCCTTTCAAACTGGACTTTTTCACAATTAGTGTCTTTTTCATCTTACCTTGCTTTTAGGTGGTTCGCTACTTGGCTGGATGTGGATTGCAGAGTTGTCTTTTGTTGATTTCTAAAGGCTATCCAGACATTGGGTGGAATCCAGTTGAAGGAGAGCGATATTTGGATTTTCTTCGTTTTGCTGTTTTTTGCAATGGTAGAGTTTTATATGTAAAATGAATTTTATAACTTCCTCTAATGTTCAAATAAGTTTGTTATTTAAAATAGTAATACAAGCCACCATGATAAGTTACCATAAATTTAAAGGTCAATTTGCAGAAGAGTAGAATTATGCAAGACACATAGTAACTTATATGCCCATTTCACAAGCCATGCAGAGTCCTACGAGCCTATGCCCTATTTTTTGAGTTCCATCTTTAGTCTTTGAAATGCCCACATCTCCTTTGGAAGTAGAACAGAGTCCTAAATCTTTTTATGATAAAACTCATACTAGACAAAGAGCCAAACCCCCATATTTTGGTGAAGATTTAAATAGTCTGATTTTAGTGTTTAGCAGCTTTATTGGTCTCCTCGTTAACTCTCTCACTTGACGGTAAGTCTTACTACAAATCAGTAGCTTTGGTGATGCTTTAAACATCCTTTATTACAGGCTCCTGTATTCTTTGGCTCTATTTAATTTTTAATTGAATCACATGGTTTATTTCATAGCTTTTATTACAATAATAGAGGACTATGTATGTGTGTTTATGTAACTTTGTAAAGATATTTAAACTGGTTTGTAGTTTAAAATATCTACAGATGCATACATTCTGCACTTTTGTGTACCTTTTTCTTATTATGTTTCAGAAGTCTTTTTGATATGATCTTAAATCTTGATACTTGTTCTATGTGGTAGGAGAAAGTGTGGAGGAGAACGCTAATGTTGTAGTCAGGCTGCTTATCCGTCGACCTGAATGTTTCGGTCCAGCTTTAAGAGGAGAAGGAGGTAACGGGTTACTTGCTGCCATGGAGGAAGCAATACAAATATCAGAAGATCCAACAAGAGATGGACCTTCCCTAAATAATGGATCTAGTAAAACCCTGTAGGTGCAGTGGAATTGCTTACATTGCTTCATTTTTGTTTATTTGTTTTATAATCTTAGTTGTGAAATTACTTTTAACATGTGAATTAGCAGATGGATTCTTCCTTGGATTCTGTGGAGGGTAGAGATTTGGCAAATAGCGCTTCCTCTGCACGGTTAATTTAAATAACCCTCTCTAAATATTAAATCCTCTTTGGAATTCTGTTCTTTGTCAGTCAGTTAAGAATCAATCCCCTGATGCAAAATGAGACAGACAATTGGTAACAATGCAGACGTCACTGCAATCTTTTAGGGACAAATTCCATTCTGTGTTAGTCTGCTAAGAGTCTACTAGTTAACTTGAAGCCACTATGTGTAAGCTGTTATATCTATGAGCAGATTTTCATTATTTATTGCTAATGTAAAAACTTTCTTGTATTTTTTCATATTTTAATTGTTTTAACATTTAACTAATTACAGTGAAATGGAAGAACAAGAGGATGACACTATTCACATGGGAAATGCAATCATGACCTTCTATGCTGCTTTGATTGATCTTTTAGGACGTTGTGCCCCTGAAATGCATGTAAGTTTTACATCTTCATGCATTGGAAAATAAAGGTGTAGTTGTTCAGTGGTTTGTTGTCTGGCTTTTTCAAAGTAACATTATCAGGTATTAAAGCAGTGGTATGGCTACATAGTATCTTAATGTACATAATGTTCATCTGCTAATTTGCAAGGAATTTCTGTAAACTATTCAGAAGCAGTTCTTTTTAAATGAGTTGTTCCATTGCTTTTGTTATTACTGTTCCCTGTGGTTGGTCTTCAAGAACATTCTGTCATGAACGTTGTTCAATTGTCCATTGTGACAATCAAAATCCTCAAATTTCCCTATTTGTTTTGATGGTGTAGAGTGATTTATTTTTTTTTTAAACAACAGTTTTACTCTCTTCATATGCTTATTTAAACAGACTGTTTAAATTGCATATGAAAGAGTAAATATTATAGTGCATACTTTTAAGACATAGGAATAAGCATTGTCCCTGGACATACACATTGATATCTCATAATCTTTACTCACACTGACAGACCTTCTCAAAGCTAAGATGTCACTATTTCAGCCATTAGATACAAAGAATTAGACACTCACACTATATAAACCCTTGCCACTTAGCTTTTAAGAGCTTGAAATTATTTGAAAATACTTGTTGACAATTCAAAATACCTTCCTGTTCTTCAGAAATTCTACTTAATTATGCGTATTTCTCATTTCACCCTGAAATGTGCCCTCATTCATATAGATCAGTATCAGATCTATGCAGGGATTGATAACTTGAGAAAGGAGAGAGAGATCCAGTAATAAGGCCAGTGTATGAATATTTGTTTTGTTTGAATGAAAAAATCATCTTGTTTTCTCCCTGTCTCGCTGACTTTTCTTAAAACAAAACTAAAACAACTGGGATACTTGAAAGGGTTGTTGTTTGGCCAGGACAAAAAAACGCCTTTTTCATCTGAAAATTTGCTTTTGCTTCCTTCTTCCTCTCTCCTCCATGTGCTACATTTTAACACTTTGTTCACCTATTTTACCTAACATTCCATTCTGAAATGGGCTTAGTCTTATTGAATAACCAAACATCTAGATTTCTAGTCTTTGCACATTTGCATCCAAAATGCAGCAAATAAATACAGATTGTGTGAAATTTACGTTATTAATTATAATGTGGTTTTGAGCGCAGTCATTCTCGTGTATCTATAGTTCAGGAAGTTTCCAGAACATTAACACATGTAGAAGATAAAAAGAAGACCTCGTTAATTTTTTTTTTTTTTCCTTAGCTAATACATGCTGGTAAAGGGGAAGCCATTAGAATCAGATCAATTCTACGGTCTTTGATTCCACTGGAAGATTTGGTGGGAGTAATTAGTATTCCTTTCCACATGCCAACCATAGCTAAAGGTAAGATGATTATTCTACTTTTTTTTTCCTCCCATCCCATTCTTACATTTTGTAATTTAATGATATACTGATACTCATACTTCTCTCAGTATTTAAAAAGGTTATAGAAATTAAAGAGAATAGAAGTAGTATTTCAAACATTTCAAAAATTTTTCTGCATGCTATAGGCAGTAATTCTGTGTACACTTAAATAATTGATGTAAATCCCATTCATTTAAATTGAATCATGACAATCTATTACAACTTAAAAACACCTGCATACTTTCTATTTTTCTAAAATATTTTTAAAAATTACAGTCTCTTTTCTTGATAACATAATCCTTAGCCTTCGCTGTTCTAACCCTATCAGTTGTTTTCTAGGAGATCTTACTAAGACACCAGAGTTGTTCTTCAGCAACTATGGTGAAGTTATAGGTGTGACATAAACATGAAAATGCATTTCTTTGTGTTTTCTGCCTTCATAGAATTGATTGCAATAGTGGGAGCTATGTGAGTATCAGTATAAAAGGGAGAGGAATTACATCTGCTTTTTTGGGTATCTGAAGATAGAACATTATAATTGCAGCATGGATCGACTAGCGACTTACAGCACAAGAATGCCCAATAGGTTACAGTAGAAGAGATAAAAAGATCAAACATGCTCTTACACCATTCTTTATTTATATTCTAAGTAGTGGTAGATCTATAAGTGATATCTCCGTAGTGTAGAGTACACCTCATAGATACAGAATTTTATTTGGTTTTGAAAATGAAAGTATCAAAATTTAAAAATACTTCAATGAATTCCTTTCAGATATTTAAGAAGTTTTCAGATACAGAGGACTTTTTAGCACAGTCTTAATTCATTGTCATACATTACAGATCACCAGTGCTGCATTCCTGGGGTGTTTGATGTAGAATTGTGTTTTTTACTTTCTGTCTGCGTCTTCTAAGAACTAGGTAGTTCTGTAGATGAATTAGTATGTTTTGTGTACTTATCATATTAGAATATCAATTGATAAGAATCCATTAGTTTACAAAGCATGAATAGAAAGCATGTATGAACTTTGAGGTCTATCTGGGTAGAATTTGCCTTATGCATTCTTTTTCAGTTAAATACAGATATGTTGCCTTTGTGTAAAAAAAACAAAACAAAACAAAAACAAACAAAAAAAGAAGCCCCCAAAAAACTCCAAAACCAAACAAACCACAAAAAACAACAAAAAAACCACAGGGAAGATGCTTAGATATTAACAGAGACTCAAAACTTCTGACAAGTAGTAGAATGACTGCCTAGTCTGGTGAAGGATGATTCTTATCATTGAAGTCTTATTTCTTCCTTTTAGATGGTACTGTGGTGGAACCTGACATGTCTGCGGGGTTTTGCCCAGATCACAAGGCAGCCATGGTTTTGTTCCTTGACAGGGTCTATGGAATTGAGGACCAGGATTTTCTTCTACATCTTCTTGAAGTTGGCTTTCTGCCAGATCTTCGTGCTGCTGCTTCTTTAGATACGGTAAAGGTTTAAGTCTGTTGTTATTTTAGTTCCATTATCTTACTGAATACTGCAGCATTTTTCATCCTTCAGAAAAACAGTTTTTATTTCCTCATGTTGTCTTCTGCGTTTCTGGAATGCTGGATGAGCTGCCTGTTGCTGCTGAGCTTTGAGAATACTTGAAGAACGGTGAAGAAGCATTCTCTAGAATGACGCTTACTTTATAAGAGCCCCCACTGATACCCATATCCATAAGAGATGCAATGCCTTTCCCCAGGAGACTTTCTGAGCTTGTGCTATGGAATCAAAATCAGATCAGCTGCCAGTGAAGTGTGTAACTGAGAGCCTTTTTCCAGTGATACACAGAAAGTGTTCTTCTCCATGCACTTGTTAGGGACACCTGTTTAGGAAATCACTAAATTTTTGCTTTAGTTCCTCCTCAAAATTGCTGCCTCTTTTTCTGTGAGTCTTATTTCCATCTAATGTATCTTAGCTCGCTTGGTCCAGAAAGATCAGATTTAGAGAGCTTATATGACCTTTTATGTCAACATTTTTTTGAAAATAATTATGTTGTTATTTAAGAAATAGCAGGTGAGGATTTTTTCCTCACTTGGAACTTGGTCTTGATTGTAACACAGAAACATACTGAGTTTTGTAAATGCAGACTTGACTGGTATTACCTGATTTTGGAGTGTTCTGTTAAGCAACGATGACATTCTTTAATACAGTCATGAAAACGGTTCTGGTTTTGAATGGCTGCCTTTAGTGTTTATATTTTTGTTCATTTAAAGCAAACTAAAAGCCATCAAGCAAAATAAAAGCCATCTGTGAGACTTTAGAAGCAGGAAAAGAAGCTAGGCATCCAGCTTCCTATAGTTATCAAATCCTCATTTGTGTGTTTTGGAAATTTCCCTCTTTGTAACTATGAAAGAAAACTGAACAAGTTCTTTTTGTTTGTAACAACATTGTTGAGACAAATCTAATTTCTGTCCCATTTAATTCATAGGCTGCTTTAAGTGCTACAGATATGGCTTTGGCTCTGAATCGATACCTTTGCACAGCAGTCTTGCCTCTGTTGACCAGATGTGCTCCTCTTTTTGCTGGCACAGAGCACCATGCTTCCCTCATCGATTCCTTATTACATACTGTGTACAGACTCTCAAAGGGATGCTCTCTTACCAAAGCTCAGCGAGATTCTATTGAAGAATGTTTGCTGTCTATCTGTGGGTAAGAAAATACTCCTGGGTGTACAGGAATGCTAATTGATAAGTAGCCTATGATATTTATAATACAGGAATGCAGAACTATACCATCAGTAGCATAATTAAGATTTCTTTTTTCTGGCAGATGATTATGATATTTTTAAATACACTGTATTCAGTTTGCAACGCTATTAATCATGCATATGCAGTCCTCAGTTATTTTGCTAATACTGAGTTTTTTAAATGAAATCCTTAGTGATTAACGAAGATTAACTGCAAAAAGACAAAGCTCTGGAAGTTTTGAATTGTGCATACATTTGAATGCTGTTTCCTGTACAGATTAGCAGTATGATCATCAGTAGATTATACAGTTCTATGGAGATGTTTGTATGTTTTGTTACATTTGAAATCTTAATCAATGACTAGTATTGTTATACTTTATTATTGATACCTACAGGACAAATTTTGTCTGTCTATCTGCAGTCTCAAAACCAGTTAATTATTATCCATTTTTTTTATAAGTCTACAGGGTCAATTATCAGAAATTCACTAGGCACTTATGAATTCAATTTCTAATTAAAGTTAGAACATTTTGGCTTTCAAATCACCAGATTTTTTTTAATATTTCACCATAGTTCTTATTGCATAATGTGGAAATGTTTTCAGAAATGACATTTATATTATAGTACTGTAAAAAAGCACTGTGCAGCATTTCTTTATAAAACATATCACATTGACCATTTATGTATATATTACCTTGGTAAGAACCAATAAAATGGACCGGTGTTTGTTATTTATCTGAAAGGTTTAATGTCCATGCTATTCTAACATACCTATTTCTATACCTATTTTTTCTGTCCTTCCAATTGGTGCCCACTGCTGTGTGTCTTGTTTAGTACACCTAAAGACTTAGTGCTCTTATGTCTTTATTAGTTTCTAGGGTATTTTTAAGAGCCATTGAGATATATTACAAGACATTAACGTTATAACCTTTTCTCATGGGCATGGTGATGATAATACACAATATCAAAATTCAGCATTTTTTCCCCTGATTTTCTGCTTCTTTAAGGCATTTTATTTGCAGCTTGTTCAGAAGGTTGTCTTTGGTATGCACTTCTTTGCTTTCTTGTGGACACATTTTTTGGTGCCACAAGCAAAATCCTATTACTTTATGAATTTGAAGAATTTTAATGGCATAGAACGGACAGGTTGCTTTAATTTATTTATTAATTATTTACATGAAACTACGCTGGTACACCCATTTGAAATGGTTTCTCTGCTTTTAGGCAGTTGCGGCCTTCCATGATGCAGCATTTGCTGAGAAGATTAGTATTTGATGTTCCCCTATTAAATGAACATGCAAAGATGCCTCTCAAGGTAAAAGTATATTTTAATATTCAACAATATTCCTTGCAACAAAATGCAACAGAAAACCTTATCTCCATTCTGCAATAATCTAAGACCATAGTTCTTAAAGATAAATTGCTGCT